TGAGCCTGTGCGCGGCTTTGGGCCGGGTGCCGGTCCCTCGCCGTCCGCCGCCAGGGCGTGCCGGGGCTGAGGGCGCCGCGCAGGGCGTCGTGCCGCCAGCGCCGCGGAGTGGGGCAGCCGGTTAACAGTGAAAACCGTTGGGCTGTTTCTGTGAGTTGCCCCGTGCAGTACCCATGCTCCCACCCTCCCGTCAGCGTTGCTGCGGTACCCTCTGCTAGTGCAACCAGACTTGAGCTGGACAGCAGGTTCGCTTCTTTACGCGTCTCAAGAGAGAACCGCTTTCTGATATCTGGTTATATTTCATCGTGGAATACACCAGGGATAACGCAGCCTTCAGTGCCCCGACCCTCCTCAGTTCCCTTTTAATTCTCTAATCCTGGGTTCTCACATCTATGGTAGCTATTTGCCTATTACAGAGAAACTGACTTGCAGAGGTAAGTGCAGTCCTCTCTGGTATCAGCAAAAGCGTGATACGCAGCCTCACCTGTACCCAGCTGTGTGCTTGTCATCAGCCTCTGCCACCATAAATGACAGTGCTATCTACGACACCAGAGCTAGTCTTTTTCTAGTAGAGTATTTCCTTTTGGCCCAGGATTGCACAAAAGTTGGTGACCCCAAGTACCAAACTTCAATTTATCACAGAGCCTACTTGCTAATCTTTTTGTTACCATAGCTAATGAAGTTCCCCTACCTTTAATTTACATCAGTGCTATTCAGATGATACCAGAATAAAGTGAACTTAGGATGTACCATCAAGGATTGCTACCTGAAACCATTAATCACTCTTCCTCCATTGGCTTCTTGCGTCCCTAACAGGGGCCAAACCAAAGTCTGAGCTGAGACCACTGACTATGAGGGGTATTAGCTTTGCATGAAACTGCTGTTGCTGGTGGGCGGCAGCTTTTAAACCCAGTTGTCTTTCTCTCTCACTTGACTTGGACACCAGTTCTCCAGGTTTCATAGCTTCCTCAGCAATAAATGCATCAAGTCCTGAAAATAATGTTAGGCCAATGTTCCCTAATTGTTTGAGACTTAAATGTAATGAAGCTGAGCTGGTTCAAGGACAGTTACCTAGCCACATTTAGATTTGGGCATGATGCAGCTTACCCTTTTTTTTTTTTTTTTTTTAAACTCAGGCTGTTTCTCTTCTTTTCCCAATCCAACCTTAAACCTAGCTGAGTGAAATCTGCCAGTATAAAATTTAAATGTCAGCTCTGATATTGCTAGCCCTTATTATTTGCACCGATAACTTTCTCAATATAAAACTTTTCCCCAGCCCCAGGAGTTTACGAAATACAATTTTAAGTAACTTAAAAGCTGAATTCTAATCCTTAGTCTTTTGGTGGGGTTCTTCAGTCTGGTCTCTTCTGAATACTCTTGTTGTCATAGATAATAGGTTTTACTCCACAGTAGCTGGCACTAGTTCTGTAAATAATTAGGTATCTTTTTCATGAATTAAGTTCCTCTGTAGGTTTCATTAATCTGGTTCCTTTGTTGCGAACCCTCATCAGCCAGAGATTAAATATAGCCTATGACATTTGTTAGCACCAACTATACCTTAATTGGTGATCTTTTTCTGACTGATTTGGGAGTCCTTGCTTATAGTTTTCTAGAGTTATGAACTTACAATATAACCTATCCTCAATTTTACTTTCCCACTACAGACTCTCTCCAGAATAGACTTACCCACTGCATGCTTAAATGAAGCATGATGATTTTTGAAGACAGTATTTTTCTGTTCACACTGACAACTCTTGCCTACCACAAATAGAAATGTAGCCTCCTGACCCTAACTAGCACAAGTCATGTACTTAAATTCTCTGTTAAGTCTGATTCAAGAGGCTCCATAATCCAAAACTCTCTCCTAACCTTATCTTTACTCTAGCCCAGACATACTTTCTGAAACGGACTTTTCTAAATGTCTGTCATACTCAGGCCATGGGGTAATTGTTGAAGAAAGTTTTAACAGCAATTTATCCTATTTCTAGCATCGTGAGCTTTGCTGGAGACAATCTGGTTGTACCATCTGAGTGGGTTTTTTTCTGCCTTTGCTAGGTCTTTATGGAAGCATTTGTAACCCTGTTTACTTGGTTAGACTTCAGTCATGCAGTATACGTTGTAGGTACAACGTCTGCATGTGTACAATGGCAGCAGCAGATGACAGTTACCTGCAGTGGCCCATCAAACTGAGAGGCAGGCTATTGCCAACAAAGATCTTTTGTTTTATTTTATTGCTAGCTGAAAGTTCATACTGGGCTAATCCAGCGATTGGTTAAAAGGTGGATTAGAGCTAAATTCAGAATTGGAGAGCTAATGCGACTTATAGGGAAGCTGCTAAGGGAACATTTAATTGAAGAGCTGGTGCTAATAAGGCAGATTCAGCTATTTGTCTTGGCGAGTTTCTGACATCCCTGGGCTGTTATTGGCATAGGGTTAGTTTGGGGGATTAGAGAATAGCAGTAAATAAGGCAGTGATCTTACTGGAAAGGGAACAGAAATGTAGTCCAGGCTGTCACCCTTATGTATCGGTACTCCATTTCTGCTAGCAGTTTATGCACCCTGTAGACTGAGTCATACTTTTTATTCGCCATTAAACTTCACCATAGTTTGTGATTTCTAAAATGTAGCTCCTCATAATAACTAGCATTTCTTAGATTTCAGTTATTCAGGAACTTGCCAGAATTGTATTCCATGCATTGTTTGTATCACTTACACTGTTACATGTATAAGCAAGTGTTGTATAGTATGGCAGTCTGCCCTTTTGTTATCATGTTGCAAACAAGATTATCTTTAAATTTCCTATATTTGCACAGTAAAATTCATATCCGGGAGTAGTAGTGTAGTATCTAGGAAAGATTAGATTAAGATACCAGAACCAAGAGAAAGGGACAGGTTCATGCTAGTGTTTGCTAAACCTCTGCTGGTCAGTCCAGTCCTAAAGAAGCCTGACCTATGGCTGCATGGTCCAGTGAGGAACGCTTGAGGGGAATGAAATCCAGAAAGCAAGTAGGAGCTTCTTCAGAGATTCTTCTCTTCCCAAGTCTAAAAATAAGATTCATTTTCTCAGCAGTTCCATTTGGAAAACAGTCATACCTAAGAAAATAGCTGTCAGCTGTTGTATACAGTGTTTACTTGTGAATTTACTAAATTGCTAGTTAATTTTCATAGCTGGTCCTGTGCCAATGAAAACAATCACACGGAAATTAATGTTATTGTTCAATTAACAAAACATAATGTACCAGAAAGGTAGGCCTGGTACATAGGCCTCCATTAACAGTGTTTTAGAAATTGTTTGCTTTGATGGGTTTTCCTTCCCTTGCAAACCGTTTGCTTAGCAACATCTGATATCAGTTATGTAATGTTTGATCTGTAGGTGTAAAGTAGCTGTAAACATTTTATCCTTCCTTCTGTGGTTCATCAACATGATTTTTGTTTCTGAATGATTACCAAGAATATATAGACTGATGGACAGGCTCTGTTTTTGCGTGTCTTGGAAAATGCATCAAGGAACTATCAATGAAATAAAAATTATTTATATGAACAGTTATTATTTCAAAAGGTTGTACTTTCCACTAAGAATTCATTTGATCATGTAAAGACCAAACCTTAATTCTATCTTATGAAAACAAGACAAAAACTTTGATTTAAAAACTTTATTGCACACACATTCTGACGTTTTTATAAATGCCGCTACTCTTCCTTGCAATTCCACTTACTAAAATACAGCAAATATAGTTTTACTACATATATAATCTCAAGTGACCTCAAAAGACTGAGTGCATTACAGATGCATTTTGCAATGCTGTATGAGAAAAAGGAGGGAAAAAAAAGCCTATCAAGGAAGTAGTTGCCCTTTTTAGAGTTTAAATACATTATTAAATATAGTATTTCAAAATGTGTTTCTTCGTCTTTTCTTTGGTGGTTACTAGAGCTAAGAAAGTCTTTAGTCTCTCAGGCTTGAAATCTCATGCCGCACAACAGATGACTCATGTTACCTGCCTATTGAATGAAGTATGATCTTAGGTGGTTGCAGGCACAACAGCCTGAAGTGCCTCTCTCGCTAGTTATCAGTGATGTGGCTATCAGCTCCACACCTTCCTGCTCTCTGTTCTAAAGCTGTGTTTTGGGGGTTTTTTTAAGGCAGCTTTCATAAATATGATGGCTCATATGTCGAAGATATAAGTATAGAAGTTCCTGAAACAGTCAGAACATGAGAAAAAAAATAAAGCAAATTTATGTTTGCTACATTGTTGCAGTTTTTGCAGCTGTTAACAGCGTTTTTTTGTGTCCCCACATTATATCTAAGGTGTTTATCGTTCTGTCTAAGCAGAAGGATAAGCAGCAGCATATGGATCACTAGTGAAATCTTTTAACATGAAAATCAATAGCATGGCACCCATCATATTTATATTAAAAGGTGTTATTTACAGAAATATTGCCAAGAGCTACTTTCAAATGTTTTATGAACTAAATTTCTAGAGAACCAAAGCATGCCTGAATAGTTATGTCTGAAGAGAGTTCAGTTTGAGCAGATACAACACTATCCAAGCAGATAAAATGAGTGGGTATTTTTATATTCATAAATAATTCAAGTATGTAAAAAGTCCTGCAGGACTGAAATGGTCCTGCATATCCTGTGTCAGAGAGGCAATTTTTCTGATACTATTAAATATCAACTGTGGCATTAAAAAAGGACTGTAAGGTGACCTGAGTACTAGCCGGTCTCTTGTAAGGACATTAAACTATATCTTCATGGAAATCCGCTTGTTGTAAAATACTTTTCCTAACAAAACAATACTTAATTAGGTTTATCTAATTCCAGTTGCTGTTTTAACTAAGTACTAGACATAAGGTGACTGTTAATCTGCCACCAGCTGATCTGATATTTACACTAATTGTTAAAGCTATTTCTTCTTCTTTAAACTAGAATGAGGTCTACAAAGATGATGAGGGGACTGGAGCATCTCTCCTCTGAAGAAAGGCTGCGAGAGCTGGGCCTGTTGAGCCTGCAGAAGAGAAGACTGAGAGGCGATCTCATCAATGCGAACAAGTATCTGAAGGGAGGGTGTCGAGAGGATGGGGCCAGTCTCTTCTCCGTGGTGCCCAGCGACAGGACAAGAGGCAACGGGCACAAACTGAAACGCAGGAAGTTCCGTCTGAACCTGAGGAAAAACTTCCTTTCCTGTGAGGGTGACTGAGCTCTGGAACAGGTTGCCCAGAGAGGTAGTGGAGTCTCCTTCGCTGGAGATATTCAAAACCCGTCTGGATGGGATCCTGGGAAATATGCTCTAGAGGACCCTGCTTGAGCAGGGGGGTTGGACTAGATGATCTCCAGAGGTCCCTTCCAACCTCAACCATTCTGTGGTTCTGTGAGAAATAGAAGAAAACCTTGGATTCTTCACATTTTTTGCAAAGCAAACTCGGACATGTACAAGAGTAATTTTTTTGTTATTGTAAGGTCTACTTATCTTTCAAGGAGAAATACAAGGAGAAATTTGTAGCAAAATGATATTTTCTCTAATAACGAGATATAAACGTTATTTGAGAGAGAGATTTCTAAACAGGCCATTTCTTGGGAAAGGGAGAGGGAAAATTAGTTCTCACTGGTTCATTTGTATGACAGTTGCCTTTCTGGACACCTTGAAGAGCAATAGGATTACCACCACCCCTTAGCAATAGGGCTTAGCAAGACATAGACCTCCCCAAATAATAACTACTGACAGTCAGCTAATTTGCTGACTTGAATCAGAGACAATTTCCATGTTACCTGCAGCTAAGAAGCTAGGAAATATTTATTGCTGAAACATCTTGAAATTTTGCTTTTAAGAGGAATTTCTTTGAAATCAGGTGATACCAATTCAAGTGAATAAATCACTTAATGTTCAGCAAAAATATTAGAGCAATTATTCAGAACCAGCACATACACATTTAAATTTCTTTCTTAACTTAGGTGTGAAGCAATCATACATGGCTCAATGCCAGATTTGAATCTGGTAAAAGTTTCTAAAAACAGACTTAATTGCTAAAGTAAATGTGAGATCGTATGAGGAAAAGAGGTCTTTTAAGTCCATTTAATTATCATACCCTTTAATTTGTTGAATCTCCTTAATGTTTCCATGCGACTTCCCTGACTAAAGCCACGTTAAGCTGTTAAGTCGCTCTTCAGCAACAACAGTGGTTCATATGCCTGTCTCTGCAGCGTGCCTAGTTTAGCTTAAAGTGCCATGGAGAAAGCACTGATGGGAAAGTGCACAGCGAACACATGCAGCTGCCTTTACTTTCCAACTTTAACTGTTTTGGAAACATAGATTATCTTTAATGGAAGACATATCTGAATGTTAAACCCCGTTAAAGCACTGACGTTTATGCTCTTGCTGATCCAATGATGTTTTCATTCATTAGACTTTTGGTATCCATTTAATCTCGTTAGAAAAAAATATTTCCTGTATAGCCACCTCACAGAAGAACGTGTTATTTTCTTATGCTACAGTTATCAGCACTAAGGTCTGTAAATCTGATGTGCTGATCAGATTTAGATCTGATAAGAGCAAAGTAAGATGTCCAGGAAAAGCTTTGGAAAACTTGTTAAATCCTGTCTGCTTGGCTGGCCTTAATACGGGCCCCTTGTACATGATCACGTTCTATTTCTTGTGCTTTGATCAGTGCTCTTTTGGTAACTTTTCCCCTTTCATTCAATATAGAACCTCATCATTTATTTGCTGCATACTCTTAAAACCCCACTATCAGGCAGAACCTTTATTTCCTCATGAGCTTTTCCTGGCTATTCATCTTGTAGAACCCAAGTGCTTCACTTGGAAATACTTCATGGAAATACTCATAATCATCCATACCTGACCTTGTTCTGATTTGCTAAGCAGGACTCGTGCCTGCAGGGCTGTGGAGGACAGAGGGGATTGCAGGTTGTGCTTCAGCTCCTTTCGGCAGCATTGTGCAGTGCTTGCATAGTGTAAGTAATACGAGAGAGTGGCAATACTGAATGAGACGATTCTGAGATTTCATCTTCAGTGTGTCCTGGATTAACATGGCTTCTTGTATGAAGGAAAGGATAGTTTTTCATTGTTTTGAGAAAACTGATGCTTTAAAAAACAAATCTAGTGTTCAGCAGCATTTTTGATGTATGGATGCTGACTGTGTTTTTCATAACTGAAAATGTGTTGTGTCAAGTATTAGACACAGCGTGGTATCCAAATTATATCTCAAATTAAAATGTACAGTTTCAGTGACACTTCTGCAAAGACCAATTATTTGTGTATTCTTTCTGTCCTTTATACAGGCAACACTTAATCAAGTATACACATCACTAATGTCCATCCTGCAGAGAAATGAACTGTGAAAAAATTCAAGCAAACATGTTCCAACTGTTCATACAAAGGATTGCATAAGTCATGCATTGTGTTTCCACAAAACTTTCCCCACAATTTGCTGCTGATCAGCATGTAGCTCACTTAGTTTCCTCCAATTAAAATTTGCAAACAGGAAAGCTTTCCAGTGTTAGCAGACTCATGTGCTTTCTCAGAGATTTGGAGTCACGTGTTCCGGGAATGGCTGGTACACCACTCTGATACAATATAAAGGCAACGTCAATCACTTTCTCTCATTTTTTAATAGCTCCCTTCCATGGTTCTCTTTCTCCCTCATTAGAAACTTAAGATTAAAGGAACTTTACTATATTTCAAGTACAGTTTAATCAATTTAAGATGGATCTCCTTCATAGCAATGGGGTGCTTATCATTCAGTATTTACAGAAGGATTACAGGGCTTACCAGGACTTCCTTAATTTCATGTCACATGTTGGTGATCCCCGGAATATATTCTCAATTTATTTTCCTCTTTGGTTTCAGCTCAATCAAGTGGTTGGTACTAAAATGATATGGGTGGCAGTCATTGGTGATTGGTTCAACCTCATATTTAAATGGTAAGAAGTTGTGTTTATTTTAAAATTTGATATTTCTTAATGATGGCGATTATATGTGCCTCAAGTTTAGAAGACATTCTCGAATAGATGTACTAGAAGACATTGCTGTGTAACTATAAAGTAGGACTTCACAATGAGGATATTTAGGATATGTTTGAAATGACATTTTGATAAGAGAAGAAAAACCTATTAGAGGATTAGAAGAACGACCTATTAGAGGATAGCTTTGGTAATATAGCTCTTTGTATACATTGTAAGATTATTTATCATGCTTTGTTGTGGCCTTTTCACATAAAATTATTTTAATTGAGTTTGTGCTTTTTTTATTTTGTCAGGATTTTATTTGGTCATCGTCCATACTGGTGGGTACAGGAAACAATGATTTATCCCAATCAGTCAAGCCCATGCCTTGAACAGTTTCCTATAACATGTGAAACTGGGCCAGGTAAGAAGTTGTTGGAGATTACACTAGTGCACCTAATGCAGATAGTAACACTCAAAGAGAGTGGCTGTTTTGTGAGAGTGGCTGTGTAAGAAGATCTTATATGATGTACAAATCTCAGAGCTTATTTTTAGAACAGTGTCAAAACATATGAAGAGAAAAAATAAGGAAGAGATAAAATGTGCTATTTGGTTGCTGTACTGTCAACTGAACAGTGGCACTGAATGTGTGTTTGTGTGTGTGTGTGTGTGTGTGTGTGTGTACACAGATAGTTAGCAGAAAGTTAAAAATATATATATATATGTTTTTTTTTAAACAAACCTTTTCATTTTCACTTATGTTGCCTGTTTTGTATCTCTCTCTCTCCTCTGTGGAACTCAAATGCAATAATGCTGAAGTCTCAAATGAACTTGTGAAACCCTAATATCTGAAATTAGGTAAACTAAATTCAGTCAGTTAGCTCCCAGCCAATTTAATTCATTATACCTGAAAATACTGACTGTAGAAATGAATGTGCTTTGTGCCTTGGCAAAGTCATGGCATGCTTTTAAGTAGATTGCAGAGCTGCATTTTGTTCGCAATATCTTGCATTATAACCTACTGTAATTTCAAACAAGAAGCTTAGCCCTTGTATCAGACAGGGGTTAATAATGCCTACACTATGTGTGATCTGCAGTCAGCTCTTAAGGATTTTTCTCTCCGTCTTTATTGTGAATTCATTGGGGCCTGACCCAAAGTATTAAGGTCCTCTAGATCTTTTCAAAAGACTTTAGAACTGAGACCGTTCAGCATTGCGTAGTTCCAAGCCCTGCGTTAGGACCCAGTCAGTATGTTTCATTCTGATTCACTGAAACACAAGTTTGTTCCTGAAATAACAAGCCATTCCTATTTCTATCCAAAGCGTACCACCGTCATATTGATTCCCTATTTGCACTTTAAAATGACCATATTTTCTCCCACCTCCATATTTGCCCTTGGCCGTAGACCACGTCTGTCACTCACTTGTTCCTCACTAATGGAGGGTGAATACAATTGCTGCGGGAGCTTACATGGTACTTCACACTTCTACACATGCAATTTATATGAAAAGATTAGAGAAGTGGCCACAGCAGTGAGAAAAACATGTAAAGTACAAACTCTGCAGCTGAACAAAGGGAAAGCTGAGGGGACTGTTTATTATATGACTGCATAGTAAGCAAGCTAGGACCTGAATTTGATTTGTATTTCTGCAGTGAACTGATCCAAAACCCTGCAGCTGTCTTTTCTCTGATATTTGTAACGTTTCAAAACATAAACCTGGGGGTGGAATTTATGTTTCATCTAGTAGGTAATCTGCAGATGGGCTATGAAACGTAGAACAAAAAAGAGGCTTTTCTAACTGTTATGTGACATTATGCTTTGCTTATCAGTCAGTGAAATTTGTTTTATTGTGGGGTTTTAGAAGTCACCATGCATATTTGTTATGAGATTAAAAAAAGAATTGCTAACCTGACTACTAAAGAAATTTCCTAGCAGAATACCAAAAATAAGTGTAGGTAGCTAGAAATCATTGTGCTTGTCTTCCCTAGAAATTTCTGCTTTACTGCTTTGCTAAAATACTCTTCTGCTTTGCGATCTATGTCCATAGCATTGTGTCATAACGCTTTCTTCAGCCAAAATGATTTCTTCTGCCAGTGAAATAACCCTGTCCCTTTTACTTCTCTGTTGTCTGCACAGAAAGCCAAGCTGGAACAGTCTGATACAAACAAATTCCAAGAATCTAATTTTCTCTCCTTTCCTTTTTCTCTTTTGTTGAATGTAAACATGGTGAAACAGAGCCCTACTATCAGTGAAAAGAAGGGATAGAATAATTTTAGGAATCCCTTCCCTTGCATCATGCCAGCAGCACTTTGGTTTTTCAGAGGTTTTTCACAGATGTGGAAACTTCGCTACTGCTTCATATTACTTCCAGCATGATGAAAATTTACTTCACTAAACTAAAATAAATTATACCATACATTATTATACCTGGAATAAAAAGAAGTGGCTGTCAATCTCCATATGATTGTATGTTTCTTGTTATAGACTACCGTGGATAGACCAATTAGTCTAATGTATTACAACAGCATTGCATAGTGCTGGTTCTATTGATAACCTGTGGCCAAGCTAGTTGACATTGTACAACACCTTAAACTTTGTAAAATAAATCAAAGTTAAACAGTTCTTCCATCATACTTCAAATATATTTCTAAGTTTATTACAGAACTACAGAAAATGTGAACTGTAATATTACTAAGAAGACACTGATCATGATACCAATTGCTAATGACTTCAAGATTGGAGAAGCAGATAAAAGGCAATTTTGAAGGGCCATATAAAGTTATGCTGGTGCTATAATTCAGAATATTACAAAGAGCCAATTGTTGCTACCTTTAATTATGAGGTAGCTTGTTCATAACCTATCTCATTTTCATATGTAAAGTCGGCATTGTATACTACAGCCCTAATAGGGGTTCTAGTATTTATAATCGCATTTTGCCAAAGTATCAGCTCAAGTTTCAGCACTAGTATTTTTTAAATTAGGCTTGTGGCTGCTCAAATTTATCGAGCTGTCTTCAACCACAATTAGTTGAGGTATGCCATAACCTGAGGTATATGAAAGAAATAGTGCAGGGTTTGACACATTCCCTATAAGCAGGAGAAATACACATTACTCAAATTTGTCAGCCCACATTTTGTATACTCCTTTCACTCTCTGGGGAAAAAATATGAGTAATTAAAGCTGTATAGACATGATAATGTTGTAAATGCATTAATAGCCAGGTAACAACTAGATGCTCTATTTTTTTATCGTAATCCAGATCGAAGTAATGGAAAAATACTATGCTTTCCAGTCAACATGCCAGGTCACACCAATACGAGAAAGTTGTTACTCATAGTCTGACAAATATTCTGGATTTCCTATAGATCAGTTTTCTGAAAAGATCACATTGAGAAAATAAACTTCTGAGAAGCAGTTGATGTTCTTTCAGGCCTTATTAACCATTTTCTTTCTAAATGATTAGGTGCTTGAGTAGACATTTAGGTGCTAATAGACATTTTCTACATGCCAGATATTATAGTCATCATTTTTAGAGCCTGAATTTTTCATTTTTATTTTTATTAGGAAGCCCATCTGGGCATGCGATGGGATCTTCTTGTGTCTGGTATGTAATGGTCACAGCAGCACTTAGCTACACGGTAGGATGGAAAGATAAATCAGCAGTTACTCTTCACAGGTCAGTGTCTTGCCGTTATTCTAACACGCATACAGATGTTTCTTTATATACATGCTATGTTTTTAATGGACCTATTTTAACTAACTATTCTCAGTCTGTTTTGGTCCACTTTGTAAAAATACCTTCAGTATGATTTGCTTCAGCTGGAGAAAACAGAATATAAAGAGGATATATGCATGTTTATAGGGTAATATTTCATTAATTTACAGTCATGACATGAACATATCTCTGAATCAGCTCCTGTTAAAGGCTGTAACAGGTCTTCAGTGTTGGAAAGCTTGAGTTCTATTAATTGTCTTTACTTGTTTCAGCTTTTTAACAGTACATAAACGTATTGCTTTGAGAGTAGTCATTCTCACCCTGTTTTAAAGCAAAAGCACAAAATGCTGGCAGAGTTCACTGTTCACAGTGTGTTACTTAGCTCTGTGGGGAAACCTTATTACTGCTTTGATGGCTTGACAATGTTGTTCCCATAATACGTGAATTTTGTGACCAAGTTAATGATCTTTTGAGTTTAAATATGCCTACACAATGACAAGTGTACTGAAGGTAGTAATACTAATTTAACTTGCTACTGATGCCTTATATTGCTAAGGCATGATAGTGTCACAGGCCTTAAATGACTGTTCATTTTGTTCCTGCAGCCCTGGATGTGGCTGCAAGATTAACTACACTTGCTAATATTTTAGTACTGACTTCCAATTTTTAATCAGCCAACTCTATAAACTTTTGCAGTTCTAAACCTGCACTGAGTAAAACTAGATGAAATACAATTTCTTGTTCTTATTTTTGAAACATCTTCCTTCTCTCTCTCAGACTGACGTGGTCATTCCTCTGGAGTGTTTTTTGGATTATTCAGATCAGTGTGTGTATCTCAAGAGTGTTCATAGCAACACATTTCCCTCATCAAGTTATTCTTGGAGTATTTGCTGGTAATGTTGCTAATTGGGTTTTTTGTTGGTGGTGTTTTTTTTTTTCTTTTCAACACATATGCAAAAGCTGAAAATACTGACGTGAAAAAAAAGGCAAGAGAATTTTAGTAGTGCTACTAAGCCTGCAGCTGTCATGGTGTTCTGTGCTCTCTGGGAGATGAAGGATTTGATGACAATGTAAAGGTAAAATTTGCAAGGCAGTATTTATCTGCTGTCCCTGTGATTCACACAGGGAGTGAGCCCTTCCCATGTGCCAGTTGATGCTGACTGCGTTAGTCCGCACTCTTAAAGACTAGTGCTAGCTGGTTTGCCCTGGTTGCATCTGCACTGCTTATCTATTAGAATGGGCTTTGAGCTGATCTGCACCTGTGCTGCGTGGCAAGGACCGTGGAGCAAACTTCTGTGCATCTTGCACTTTCCTCTCAGAAGGAAGCTGTTTGGTTCACTTCAAATAAAAGTGCAGGAGCAAACCAGCATATATGCAGTGTGGATGAGCACAGGGCCAGAAACCTGAGTCAACAGAGGTAAAAAGCCCAATTAGCAGTATGAACTCCTCAGTGATTTAAGACCCAAATGTATTTTTCAAAATTACTTAAGCATGTTTCACATTGGTATTTAGGGAGTTTAGACTATGAACAGTCTCTTTAGTATCTATCTGATCTCAAGGAAGGTGACCAGAGCATTGAGTGGGGGTTGCCTCTCCCACTCTTTCATACATGCAGAGCCCTCTGGGCAGCACTGGATTACAGCTGGCAGTCCAGCTCTCCTTTGCACAATCAGGATGAAATGAATAAGAAAGAAGATGATTGTGTTCTGTGTCTTCTCCTGCCACACTTAAAGTCCATGTGGGAATCACAGAATCACAGAATGGCCAAGGTTGGAAGGGACCTCAGGAGATCATCTCGTCCAACCCCCCTGCTCAAGCAGCGTCATCTAAAACACATTGCACAAGGAACTGGTGTTGAAATCTGCATATCCGGGGCCAGTCTTTGAACAGAGACTCTTCTAGAAGAGGAGCGTTCTACTTTATACTTAGTATTTGATAGGTTGTCATCTGGGAGATGCAGTCAGGCCTAAGGCATTTCTCATGTCAAATACATGCAGAGCTTGGCATCTTGATTTTTTTTTTTCCAAATTAGCAGTTTTGGATGGGAGAAAATGTTTTGTCATTTACCACAGAAATGGTAAAGTGTCTGTGTCTATGTATATGTATATATATATATTCTTCTGTCTTGAAAACTCAATTCTATAGCAGACTGTAAAAAGTGCTTCTTAAAAGTGTGATGTTCGCTGTAACACTGAATTTCTAATCCACAGGAATGCTTGTGGCAGAAGCATTTGAGCATACCCCTGCTATTCAGACAGCAAGCTTGAGAATGTACATCAAGATAAACTTGTTTCTTTTCATCTTTGCCCTTGGCTTTTATCTAGTCCTCAAACTTCTTGATATTGACTTGCTATGGTCTGTTCCAAAGGCAAAGAAATGGTGTGCCAACCCAGACTGGATAAACATTGACACAACTCCATTTGCTGGACTGGTGAGAAATTTAGGTGCGCTCTTTGGCTTAGGTCTTGGTATTAATTCTGAAATGTTCATCACAAGCTGCAAAGGTAAAAATAGCTGCAAGATAAGTTTCCGGATATTGTGTACAGCTGCTTCTTTAGCTACATTGCAGCTGTGTAACTTTGTTAAGATACCTACTCATACTGAGTATTTATTCTACATTCTCTCTTTTTGTAAGAGCGCAGCCATGCCTCTTACTGTAGTTGCCTTGGTTCCATACTGTGTCCACCTATTTATGAGGACAGCTGAAAAGAAGTTAAATTAAATAAAGTTTCCAAATGGTCAGCAATCTGCGGATGTCTGTGAACTTTTTGAGAAACCCTCACCACCCAAGGCAGTTTTGCTAACTCATTTTAACTGGGTGGGGGCAATGCCACCACATCTTTGATGTACTCCTTGTAAGTCATCAGTACATCAAAAATCAGTACATCCAAGAATGACCTTGGCAGCTCAGAAATATTAATTGTTGTCTCTATTCCTAGAAATATTGCATGGAAGGACAACGCAGTATAGTTTTCTAGCAATACGCTGGGGTGTGCCAAAGTTTAATCAACTAGTTTTGTTTAGCTACTTGATGGTCTTTTAGTTCTGTCCATCTCCAACCAGGTGGAGCTTCAAGCCCCAGTTGTATACAGTGGTATTCAATATTCCATTTTTTTATATATAGATATTGTCTTTTAAAATATTAGATAATGGTGTGACAGTATCACACCACCTATAACTGTACAGCTGCACCCAGATACTGAGAAAAAGGTCAGCATAGTTATAAAAAAGGCTTTCTTTAAATTTAAGTTACTGATCTTCCTGAGCAAAACAGCTTCTGATTAAGGAAAAAAAAAAGTATTTCAGTTAAACTCTACAGAATATATTTTTGTTCTACTGTGTGATTTTTTTTGTCATTCTTACTATTTAAAAAATGGTCATATACACCATGAATGCTAAAGATGACACCTTTGATTTTCTGAAAAAGCATGAATATGGTGTAACAAATCTGTGGGTTCTCTACATCTACATAGGACAAGTGAAGAAAAGTGTCAGTAGTGAGATTCTATGTCAGCATATTGCCTCAAGAGTGGTGTTCATGCTCTCCTGTATTGCAAAAGTAATCTAATTTTCTCCTATCAAGAGACACAAGCCTGAATCACTGGTAGTGGTTGTGTAAACCATGAAAACAGGATTGAAGAGTAAATCATCGCAAGCTTATATTTTTGTCAGATTGGTTTACTCGAGCACAGAAGTAACTAATATTAAATATTAACTGATGTTAAATATATGTTTGTTATATACAACTGATGCTGTAAATATGTAAAGCCAAGTATTCTCCGTTTTATTGATTGTTAAGCACCTGTTGTTGCATATTCCCTTTCGGTGCACAATCCCTAAGCAATACTTTGTTGATACCAACTCATAATACTGACAAGCAGCATAAGGCTACATTATGCCCTAATGAAGTCTGTGCATGTATGATCTGATAGCAATAAGGTTGAAAGGATATAAGCGTAATACAGCTTCTAGACTTCCAGTTACTTGTAGGATGACTGAAATGGAAAGAATCTTACTTAATTGGGAAAACAGTTGGGAATGAACATGATGATACAAACTACAGAGGCAAGTACAAAACATGCGTCCTTATTTAAGATTCTGTTAAGGCTACTCTGACTTTAAAAAAAAAAGTAATAATGTGTTTTTAAAAGACTGGGGAATACTCTGTTTTATATATCTTCTGGTATCCTCTTTAATGATTCTCTGAATTTCTGTTTCTTACAGCAGCTGACCTGAAATCAATGAATTTATATAATTATGACTATTAAAAATTTAGGCAACAGTGAGACTAAGCTAATAGGACTAGAGACAAATAATGAAAAATAGAAGACAACTATGACAAAGATTCCTCCCACGTTCAATTTGCTCTGTGCTTTGTTACTCCTACCAGTGAGGTGGCCTACAGAGGCACCACGAGATGCATGAAGGTTGGTGTAACTGTGCTGCTATTCCTCGCGCCATACAGCTGACCCTAGGGGATCCTCCGTACACAGCCCCCTTACGGCTACGGCACCCGTGCCTGGGCCTGCTGGTACACATACCTAAGAAGACATGGGCTCTTATTTGCTCTCTTGAAGTTGGTAATTAATTCAACCTGTAACTATAGCATGCTAGGGAATGGGACAAAGACCAGCTTCCTGTCTGAACCGCCTTGTAGTCTTTCTGTACATATTAAAACATTACTTAAACCAAGAACAGAATGATAGGAACACTAAATAAATTAAACTATTAATAAACAAATTTCTGAAGTTAATGGTAAATTGATGCCAGCAGAACAAGACGCTTCCTGAGAAGCTGTAGTGTGTTGAACTAGAGTCTTGTGCAGTTGTCTGAAGAGTCTCAAAAGACGACTCCAGAAATTTAAAAACAACTTAGCATTTTTCCAGCGTGGTAAATAAACAAGTAGCCTTAGAGTTGTATCAACTAAATAGCTGACTCCTCGTTTACAGTGAAATCGGTCTACATATTCCTTACTCAGGCGCTAGTGAATTTACCACAGTTGACGGTTATACTTCAAGCCTTATTTAGTAAGATTGCATGGCACCTTAACTAAGAACTCTCAATTTGTTAAATGCTTGAACTGTAACTTCATTAGTCTTTTGCAGCTGTTTGTAGAACTGTTAATAATTTGAACAGACACTGAGCTTATACTTTCTTGATGATGGGCTGAGCTACTCAACCTCGTTTGGGCAACAAGGACTGAGCCCCCCCCTTTGAATTATGATTTTTCTACTTAATAAAGTGTGTGGGCAGGGAGTGCTCCACTTGTCCTCCTGCTTCCATTAATGGGATCCCAGGAGAAAGTTAATCCTGTATTCCTGACATGGAGGTGTCCCCACTGGGATAATGCAATTCTTGAAGTCCTTCCATCCCTCTTCAGAAAAGACGCTTGCTAGCCACCAGTAGTTGAGTCATGCAAAGTAGCAGTTATAAACAAAGGTGGCCCTCGCTCTTCATACAAACAGGTGGACAAATTGGTTTTACATCCAGTTCATATTACTCACTTCTTCTAACAGGCAGCTCTTCCATTGCTCCTCCCCTGTTACTCCTTCCTGATGGGAAGACTCTCCGTGGCCACAGTGAGAGTGTTCCTGCTCCAGGAGCAGGCGCTATATTTGCAGAGCGGGTCGTCAGGCGCCATGTTTATCCAGAGCAATAAGGTGTTTGGCAAACCAGATAATACATTTACCATGGGACCATGCAGAGACACCAAACAATGCTGTCAGCTAGCTCTGCCCAAACTAGTAACGCAGGGCTGGTGCTGTAGGCGAACTCACTTGGTTCTGCTCAGGGCTCTTGCTGCCAAGTTGCAAGCCTGGGAGGTCTTACCAGTGCGGTGGCTGCAGAGGAAAAGCAGAGCGCTCCTGCCAGCCCAGATCTGCACTGAGGAGCCTATTAGGGTCTGTTATTCAGGCCCTGCCTTAAAATACCTGCCCCTGCCCATACACAGCATGTTTGCTCCCCTGGCAGTTTAGTCTCTGTGCAAAGGTACGAAAGGCCTTTACAGCTGTGCAGATCACTAGCACGCAGCTGTGAGGTGGCAGGAGTGGCACCCAAGAGTGTGGCAGCACACAGCTTTTGGCATACACTCTGAGTGCCTCTGTTATACAGGTATAGACATTAGCTCCTAATATTCACTAGCCTGCCCTTCTTCCCCCCCTCCCCTCCCGGCTAAAAATAGGATTTACTTTAGGAAGAAGAGCAGCTTAGCGTTGGCAGTACCCAGCCAGGCCCATGTCAGTGCTGCTGCAAGGAGATAGCTGGAACGAGCAGGTGCCTTTGCAGGTGGGGCAGGGTAACTGCATGGGTTTTTGCAACAGCTCTGTCCTGTAAAGCAGAGCATTGATACAGACATGAGCTAAATACCTACAAATACTTCATGTCTGTGGGGAGAAACAAAGTGTTAAAGCACAAGAGTCAATATAAAATATGATTTATTGATGTAATTTGGGCCAAAAAGGTGGAGTCTTTTAGAAAAAAGAAAATGGCATAAGCACTCACAGTAGTTCTAGGTTTTATTACAGTGTGGTTATTTTTCCTTATAGCCTTAAATACAAGTATAAATTAATTATTATCTAGGATTGTATGATAAGCATGTGTCATTTAAAGACACCTGAGTTTTTAATCTATGTCTGAGTTTGTTCATAATTTTTATTACATAGCAATGAGTTTTTGTTTTTCTTCATTATCTATCTGAACTATTATTCTACCACTGTTGATAGTTCACAGAAGTTGTAGGTTCAAGAAAAAGATGGGGGAAAATGGCGTTCAGGTGATATAATCTTGTCTGTAGGTTCTAGTTCCCTTTTCCTTTTAAGCTGTATCCACCATTTGAAAATTAAAGCTTTTTGTCAATAGGTTATTGACTGTCAGTAGTTTCAGTCCTAAATCATCCAAACTAATTATTGCCCTGAACTATACAAAAGGCTCAAAAGATTAAAACTGAAGGCCAATGATACAGCTTCCTTTTTCATTTTCAGTGAAGGATTAAAACACAGCATTCTTCATTTAAAAAAAAATGCTTTTTAGTGTCAATTACATGATTTCACTAGGCTCTAATGAAGGTATTGTAATCATGGAGTTGCACAAAAATTTTAATATTGTTTTGGTTGCCTGGAATTAAGAGATGGATTCTAATAAAGTGTTCACTATTTGAGTTTTATTCAAGTTTCAGCAGTTGCTACTGTTGTGTTACTTAGTTACAACAAATCGCACCAAGGTAGAATGTCTTAAAGTGGGAGGGAAGGGGGAAAAACCCCACAAGCTGCAGATTGCAGGATGCTGAGAATGCCTTTTCCATGTAACACACTGTTATTCCAAGTCATGATTTAAATTCTGAAATGGTAATTTTTTAGACTATCTGTCTATCTTGGGGACAAATCCCCAAGAGCTTAGTCACTAAAAGATTCCTGTAGACAATACCCAATAACATATTTTGGAGAACAGTGCAGTAGATCCTATAATAAACTGTTATAGATACAAGCTTCTACCCGAGGATGATCCTTCCTGACCTTTGTCAGTCCTCAATGAATTGTTGCTCAGCTTATCAACTCTGCTCAATGTAAACAAATAGCTAGTCATGGCTAATCCTTATTTTTAATTTTTTCCCCACTTTTGTTGAATATTTATGCCCTTTTTTAAAGACGCCAGTCTTGCCTTTCCCAAAATGAAAACAGGATATTATCCACCATCCTTTCTGTAGAAGAGATTTAAACAACAGTGAAGATTAACTGCAGGAGTTTACATTGATTGAAATAAAGCATTTATTCATATTCAAAAATATTTTACAACTTTGATCAAAGTGATGAGCGTAGGGAAAATGAGCCTTACCAGCTTCTGTTCCTCTTGACTGCTTTCCTTACTACAGTGAAGCTGCCTTTTCTATAAATACTTAATGGGGTACTGCTACATCGAGCTCTGGGCTCCACAGGGTCAGCATGAAGGTGCCCTCAGAGGAAGCCAGCCCTCCCTGCAGCAGCAGAGCTGAAGTTGGCAGGGTACGGCAGTGGGAAGGGGGAGTTCTGCAGCCACACTAACTGTATCTATCTGTTGTAATCATCTGCAAACCAGAACATCAGGAGATACCTGATCCCTCCATTACATCATTCTTATTCCTACAGCTTACCTAGAGAAGTGGCAGCTTCCAGAACACCAGAGCAGAGTCTTCCTTGATGGCTGGTTGACAGGACTGTGCAATCTGACTGCAGGTGGTGGCAATTCCCCGGCTTACCAAAGATCTGGCCTATTTTCAGGCTTGCTTTCCCTTAGCAGTGGGCTAAGATACCTTCCGGGATACACCAGCCTACGCTTAGTTCCCTGCACGTGGCCTGCTAGGCTTTGCTTGATCCAGAAGGCTACATACATTCAGGGTACCACATACCTCAGAATATTGTAGAGCACTTTGTAGCACAAAGGGGTACCAACATACACATACCTACCACAGAGTATTTGTTTAGGGGAAAAAATAAGTCTTTCAAAGTTAGTATGGCAGTAATTCAGCTAATGGGGGCTCCAGTGGTAACAAGCTTATAGTAAGCTCCTTCCTTGGCCATCAGTTCATCATGAGTGCCCTTTTCAATGATGATGCCTTGCGACATGACAGCGATGATGTCAGAGTTCTGGATCGTGGACAAGCGGTGGGCAATGACAATGCAGGTACGCCCTTCCCTGGCCTTATCCAGCGCTGCTTGCACAGTCTAAAGGGAGCACACACAATATCAGAGGGCAAATGGGTAAATCAGCTTGGGAACCAGCCCTGGAGAAATCTGATTGTTTCAGATTAATTAACCACATCATGCAGTACTTTTAAAAGTGACTCTGAGGCTAAATCAAACGTTAGGTTAACGGTCTGTTTTGCTGGGTCATGAGCTCAGTCTAACACCAGCACAAGGAAAGGACAGATAAATATACACAGCAGTAGAACGTAAAACTGTTGTATAGAAGGCCTTCATTCAGCTGACATGCTTCAGCATGGATATGTTTTTAAATTCCCAGCATTTCTCTAATCTCTGAGTATAATTAAACCAAGCAAATTCTTACCTGAGTCCCTAGGCCCCTCACTGCTGTTTTATTGCACGTTCATGCTCTTCATCCATATGCTTGAATAACCTGGGTTTTTTGATGCACAGAAGCTCTATTTGTGAAACATTCCCACTGCAAGCTTTGAAACCCAGGGAATTAGTATGCCCAGTACCTAAAAAGTGCTGCCTCTGTATTGGCACTCAAAGAGCAACTGTAGCTGGCTATCATTTTTGTGGCTGTGCTTCCCTTTTTCACAAAGATTATTAAAGTTACAGTGCTGAACTAAGAATGTGGAATAATGTTTAGGTCATATAGGTATGTCCTTGTAGGGCAGGGTGCCTTTACAGAACAGAAAAGGGCATTGGAAGCGATTGTATTAATATTCCCTTATTTCTTTTCACTGCATATTTACCTTTTCACTTTCTGTGTCTAAGGCAGATGTAGCTTCATCCAGTAATAATATTTTAGGATTTCGTATAATGGCCCTAGCTATAGCAATGCGTTGTTTCTGCCCACGCGATAGCTGGGATCCCTGAGCCCCAACATTAGTTTCATATTTCTGAAAAATACACAAAAGAAAGATTTTTATTTAGATGTGAACAAACATACGGGTACACTAACTGAAGGAATAGCAGGAGGAGAGAGAGAGACAAGCGTTCTGACCATGGTTGTATCTTCTTCAAAAAACCTGGCAAGGCAAAAATTACTATTTAAGAGTGATACTAATGTTTGTGGAGACATTGAACCCTGCCTTGCAGTCCACGTGACACGGGGGTCCAGGCAGCATGATGGTGGGTCTGGAAGAGAAAGCTGATAGTAAGATGATGGGTAATTTGTCTGAGGCAAAAGTAGATTTGGGGGAAGAGGCTGAAAGTGCCTGAAGAATTGTCTGGACAAGTGTTTTGTTTGGGCACCTAAACTGTATTTATCTATTTTATGTTTTTATGCATGATTTAAGTGCACTTAAATACTTCTTAAATGCATGCAAGTCCTCAGTTTCAAATATTTTGGTCTAAGGCAAGGCAAAATCTGCCATAGCTGGAAACAGGATTTGTATTTCCTGACTCAGTGTCACGCTTTGACCACGAAACTGAGCTTTCTCGTCTTTCTTGTCCATTGCTTTGAAAAATCTTTCCTTTTCTCCTAGTTTAGAGCTGTTTCACGAACACAACAAATGCTCATGACACCCTCTTTGCTCCTACTATTACCGCTGTAAAAATAAGATACAAGGTGTATGTGTGTAGCTACTTTAATTTGTTTCCACCCAGCTCCCACTACAACGAATCGAAAGCATCCTGCCCTTAGTCCCACAGCCAAGGCCTCAAGTGCACTTACCTCCGGCAGTGACATGACAAAGTCATGCAGCTGAGCCTTCTGGGCTGCTTCTATGACTTTTTCCATTGTTATCTCTTTGGTGTTACTGCCGTATTTAATATTATCAGCAATGCTGCAGTCAAATAACACAGGCTCCTGGGATACTACTCCAATATTTGATCTAAGAAACTCTACATTTACTTTCTTGGTGTCATGTCCATCTACTAACTGCCAGAAAATAGAAGAGAACTTGAAACATCATTCCAGAACAACAGCCTGCAAAACCCAAATAATTCACAGTGAAACTAAATGAGCCCTACAGTTTTAAATGTGGCCATCTTACCCAAATGCAAACAAGACTGATTTAATTTGAAGAAGCTGCTCACATTTGGCTTCTTTGTGCACGGCAAATGAATTTTTTCTGGGTATATCTGTGATCCAGCCAAGCACCAAACCATTTGCTTAACCTTAAGCCCTAGTGAACTATTTGCTTAAATGCAAGACATATGCTTTGTTGGATTTCTGGCTTAATAACACACTTATTTTTTCTAAAGCAAAAGAAATCAAATTGATTAAGCATTTATGTGGGGAAAAGATACAAAAGCTGTTTAAGCTATCGGTAATTGAGTAACTAGAAGATGAAGTTAAACAAGTTCCCCCTTCAAAGAAGCTTCATGTTGAAACTATTTATTTAGGCATGTTGTAGCCTCTTTGTTGCTCAAGTTGGGCTTGATTTTTGCCTGTGCTTTCATGATGTCAACAGCACACTATGTGTTTCACACAGGAGCCACCAAGGTGAGTGCCTACGGCCTACATGATGCAAGTCACCTCTAAAGATTGCAGTATTTATTCTCATCTTGCCTGAATGCATGAGAGATGGCACTCAGGGAATTGCCAGAAGAGTCTATGTTTGTTTGAGAAGGAGCCAAAGATCCCAGCTGCACAGGTACAGACCACTACTACTAGGCTGATCAGTAGGACACCTTCAGAAGAGTCCTTGTAACACTGCTGAAAACAATAGCAGACAATGCGCATCCCCTTTGCTTACCACAGCTCCTTTCTCAGGGTCATAGAAACGCTCCAGAAGCTGGATGCTGGTGCTCTTACCACATCCGCTACTTCCAACAAATGCCAGAGTCTGTCCAGCCTTCACAGCTACGGAGAGTCCTTTCAGGACCTGAATATCAGGCCGAGAAGGGTATGTGAATTTACAGTTAAGAAATTCAATGCTTCCCTTGAAATCATCCTGGTTAAAAAAATTGAGAAAGAAAATAGAGTGAGATCAAAACCAAGTTGTAAAGTAGACAACAACTCTTCCTCAAATTCTGTTCTTGCATCTATTATTTAAAATGTGACATTAGCGAGTGTGAAATTAGCCCAGAAAGAAGGATTTAAAAACTTATTGATGTGGCTGACCCAGAGATGAAGCCATTAGTCATAACGTTGTTGCTCTGCTGATACTTTCCCTTACCGCACTGGCAAGCTGCAACTATTGGAAATGAGACTGCTTTGTAAACTGGTAAATTATTTATTTCAGCACAGACACCACGTATGTCCAAATTTGATGATGGTGCAAAGACATTCATACACAAAGGTTTCTCTGGTTAAAAATATCAATTGAACTTTGCAATGTTAAGATAACATGTGAATTCAGGTCAACTTTCCAGTTTTCCCAGATTTATTAAAAAATCTTTTCAGAAAAGACTGAAAGGGAACTGAGATGTTTTATTTTCATGGTCTGAAGCAAAATATTTAATGTATTTAATTCGTAACAATATTTCAAGAATTCCTTTAATTTTGAAAAAGTCTAAATGAAAAATGAATTATCTGTATTTTATGGTTTTGACTTTTCAGTTCAATTCAATTCAATTCAAAATGGAGCATTTTCATTTTGTCTGACTCAAAGTTGAGTTTCCTCCTGAATACCCTCAACTTTTTTTGATGTTAAACTGGAAAATATCCATTATAAGCTAGCTATGATCAGATTGATATGAAAACTGTGGAACGGAAAGAAAAAGCATAGTATTCTGTGAGTCATCCAAATTGGTCCTATTCCAATTTATAGGAATGTTATAGTGAGAAATTCCTAATAGGTACACTTTACATTACTCTTCCTGTTTAGTACAGAGCTCACTGCTTCCAAAAGCGCAAAGACACATAACAAGTATACAGCCAGCATAATCTTCCTGCAAAGCAATGATCCTCATTCATTGATTTATAAATTGTTTCTGCAACTTCAGGGCTTGTACTGAGCTGAATGACACCTCAGTCTTACCCATTTTTCCCCTTTATCACTGTAAACACTGATTTTAGGAAGCCGATCAACCAACTGAAAAAAACGTGCAGCAGATGTTTTGGCTTTGGCATAGTTTGGAGTATAGGAAGAC